TGTGCCCATGGACTCCCTGACCCAGACCCTGACGCCATCCCTCTTCCCACTTCCCATTTCCAATAACCCACTTGGCTGAGGTCTCCTCTGACTCTGCTGTGCAGCCAGAACTCCCCAGTTCCCAGAGCAAGGGAAGCGAGAGTGGAGCTGGCAACAGCCAGAAACCTGCTCCCCCCATCCCAGGGCACAGGGAGCAGATCCCCACCCCATCAAAAATCACTGAGAGAATCATGGAGTCACTTTCCTAGGGGAAAATCTGTGTCTGATTGACTTTCTGTCTGGTTTAGCCCTGGGATGGATCCCTGGTGGAACTGGGATGTTCTCAGCAGCCAGGCTGGTCGGTTATCTCACTGTCACTTCACTTTTTGAATCCTTCACTGTTGCATCAGCAGCTACAGAGCTGCTCCAGGTTGCACAAGCTCCTTCCTCTGCCACTTTAAAAAGCTGCTGGCTGGATGTTCCCATTCCCTTCTGATTCCCTTCTGTGTACTTGGGGGGCTTTTATGGGAAAAACAGAAGAGGTGGTTTAAGCAGGGAGCATCCTCTGGTAAATGCTGCTTCATCCCAGAGCCCAGCTGGAGGCTGTGCTGCCCCAGTGCTGAATCAGGATCCATCGCATCCCTCACATCCAGAGGGATCAAACCCACACCTGCAGCTGGAGCAGAGCTGGAGCTCGGCAAGGAACTGATCTGCTACCACACAGCACCAGGTCCACCCTCTGCAGTGCAGCTCTCAAAGCTGCTCACTGCAGCCAGCAGCAGAAATCACTCCCAGGTGGAAAAACCAGCGACAGCTTCCCTGTCCCAGCTTGCCCCCTCCTCTCCCTGCATGTTACAAATGGAAAGACAGGACGAGTTTGGGAGTGTTTGGGTCCAGACTGCAGCTTCCCAGGATGGATTTTCTGCAGTGTGTGGTATTAATTTAAGACACTTTACATTCTCCTTTCACCTTTCCTGCCCATCCCACTGTGCCTGTCAGGAGGCAGCCAAGGTGCTGAGCAGCCACCACCCACCCAAATCCCAGCAACTTGGCCTGGCCCAGCACCACGGAGTGGGGACTAGTGATGTCAAAACCCTCTTGCACTGTGGCAGCCTCCAGCCAAACATGCCCAAACATATTCTCCAGCTGCTCCAGCCAGTGGGAAGCTGCTGGTCCAGCCGGGACAAGCACAAGTGGTTTCCACACTGAGGGTCCTGCTCAGCACCCCAGCACCCACCAGCTCCAGGGGCCTTCGAGGAGGTCTGGCATTCCCAAGGGATCACTTTAACATGGTCTGTGTCACTTGGAAGTGTGCTGTCACCTTCTTGTGCCCACGCCAGCAGGTTGTGTTTGTCCCCATGTGCCCAGGCTGTGATGCCTCAGTGTCTGGGCAGTGTGTGCTGGGCTGGGAGGGGGCTTCTGGATATGGCCCCCCATGCACTGGGTGGGCTGAATCCAAGGGCATAATTTATCCTGCCACAGGGCATGGATGGACCAAAAACCAGGCACAGGGGCAGGTGCCCTCTGGCCCCAGCAGAAGCTGCCCTGGCTTCACACCTTTCCTGCCTGTGGACTTGGGTGCACTTTCCACCTAAGCCACAGATCCCCCCAAATACTGGCCACCGGTTCCTGCAGGACATGCTTGGACTTGTTCCTCCTCCTCATCCCTGCCCCGGAGCCTGCAGGACTCAGACAGCAGATCCTTCCCCAAACACTTTCCTCTGGCCACAGTGGGTGCTGGGGGTCCAGCACATGGAGCAGAGCCAGACCCAGGGGAGAAAATCCATCTGGAGGGGCCAGGGGTGGCCCAGGATGGGTTGGACAGCACGTGGGGACCAGGGCAGCATCATCCTGGCACGGCTCTGAGGTGGGCACCCCGAGGGGCTGAGCTGTCCCTTCCTTAATCCACTATCCCCCTTCCCACAGTGACCCGGTGGGTGGGACAGCCTGGGTGGGACAGCCTGGGTGGGGTGGGACCCCCCCTCGAGCCAACTAACCCCCTGCATCTCCCAGCTGGGATGGGGCACCCCTGTATCCATTGCTGAGGGGTCCCTGTATCCTCTGTCCTATATTCCCTATCCCCCTGTGTCCCTGATGGGGGGTCTCTCTGTCCTGACTCCCCTCTAGGAAGGGGGTCACTGTATCTCCTAACAGGGACGTCCCTGTATCTTCTGATGGGGGGATCCTTGCAAGCCCCTAGGAACGGGGTCCCTACATCCCCTGATGGGGGGGGGTCCCTCCATCCCTTACTGGGGGTTGGCCCTGAGCCCACCCAACGTTCCTGTATTTCCTAACAGGGGGATCCCAGCAACCCCCTAGGGAGGAGGTCCCTCTATGTGCTAACCGGGGGGTTCCTGTGGCCCCTAATGCCGGGTCCCTGCACCCCCTAAGGAAGGGGGTCGTTGGACCTCCTAACGCGGGGGTCCCTGTAGCCCCTAATACCAGGTCCCCGCACCCCCTAGAAGGGGGGGTCCCCTCTCCCTGTGCCCCATTCCCATCCCGTCCCGCTGGCACCGCGGGCATTCCCGGCACCGGGGACCGGGAGGGCGGTGGGGGGATCACATACGGGGTACGTGGGTTCTGGGGACACGCGAGCGGTGCCGGGGCGGGGCCGGGAGGGAAATCCCTGGCGACGCGGGAGCGGCGGGCCGGCCCCGCCCCGGCTCTCCGCTATAAAGGCGGCCGGAGGCGGCGGCACCGGGGGCGCGGCGGGACCTGACGGTGAAGTGCGGGCGGTCCCGGTGGCTTCCAGTCACCCCCTTTCCCCGCCGTCCTGGTGGTTCCGGCCCTTCGCTGGCCGGGAGGGAGAGCCGGTTCCACCGGGAAGCGCGCGTTTTGCCCGGGAGCGCGGCCGGTGCCCGGAGCGGGGGCGGCTCCGCGCGGGCCGCGGGGCGGGAGGCCGGGCCGCGCCGGGGGCCGGGGTGTCGGCGCGGACCCCCGGGAGCCCGGAGCCCCCCGGGCGGGCGCGGGGCCGCCGGGCCGGGCCGCGCTCGCCCCCGGTGGCGGCGGAGGCGGGGGGCGGTGCGGGCGTGGTGCGGTGCGGGCGCGGTCCGCGCGCCGCCCCGCCGAGCATCCTCCGTGACCGCCGTCCCGCGGGGCCCGGCCACCCGCGTGTCATTCCCGCCGTGACGCCCCGTGCCAGCCCCGCTCGCCCATCGGTGTCGTGAGCCGGGCCGTTCTCTGCGCGGGCTCAGCGGCTTCATCCCCCGGTCCCCGGGTGCGGGTTGCTCCCAGCCCTCCTGCCCCCCCCCAGCCTTCCCCGAACTGGTGTGACTGGTCCTGGCTGTCGCAGGTGCCCGTGGACCCCGGTGGGGTGTGTGTGTGTCCGGGGGTGCCCAGCCCGGCCGGGTGAGGCTCTAACGCAGCGAGCACCTGCCGCTTCCTTGCCCAAATCTCGGGGCTCCCCAGCCGGGGACGGGGAGCCTCGAAAGCTCTCGCTGGGCAGAGGTCGCTGGAAGCGGCGCCAGCCCCGAGGGAGGGGAGGGGACGATGACCCGGCCCCGGTCCGTCCGTCCCTCCTTGGTGGCTTTGGCAAATCTGCAGCCGTGAGTCAGGGCGGAGGTTTTATCTCCGGGCTCCGGGGTGGCACCTGGGCCGTGTCGTCGGCCCGAGGATCGGGACATCGGCGCGTGACGCGGGCGGCGAGGGCCGGGGGGGTCTGGTCAGGGTGTGGGAACACGTCCCCCCCCCCGCCCACTACCTGCCAGGGCTTGCCTGGACATGCTGGGACTTGCCTCGCGGTGAGGTCATCCTGTTTGTGTGCTCAGACTGCCAGGAGATAGGGAAGCTGGATTTCTATTTTTACTCCGGGATGCTGAGTCTTGGGCACAGGGTTGGGGTGGCCCCCGGGGCAGAGCGTGGCCCCCCCAGCCCCCGGGCTGGAGGCTCTTCAGCTGCCCGGTGGCACAACGTGCCTGGTAATGGAATCACGGAATCATTTAGGCTGGAAAAGATCTCCAAGATCGAGTCCAGCCTTTGACTGAAGACCACCTTGTGAAACTAAACTAGAGCATTAATGCCATGTCCAGTCATTCCTTGAACACTTTCAGGAATCTGGGAAAGAAATGTGGCACAGGTGATCCAGAGGGGCTGCAGGTGCTGAATTTGGGCAGAAATCCTCCCTGCAGGAGACTGAGAACCCCGTCCTTGTGGAAGTTTGGGGGTGTGAGTGAAAGACTGGGTGGGGTGTCTTTCATGGTCTGGATTTGGGGGTCCTAGACTGGCTGGGCAGTCAGAGCTGTCTTGCAGGGATTTTATTTCCATGAATCTCTTTTTCTTAAACAATTTTAACGAGTGTGGCTGTCCCAGCAGGGGCAACCCTTAGCTTGGAAAGCTGTCAAATCCCAGAGCATTGCTTGTCTTATCAGTTGGACTCGATGACCTGGGAGGTCTTTTTTTCCACCTCGCCAATTCTGATTCTATATTGAGGTTCCTCATAACCGTGGGTGGTGTGAGGGATCCATTATCCCCACACATGTGTCAGGGGAAGGACTGCTCGGAAGGAAAGGCTTTGCCAATTACTGTGAAGGTCAAGGCTTTTGGCACCAATTTGAAAAAAAAACAAACAAGGTCTTGTCTCTGGTTACTCAACAGCTCCCTGCAGATAAGGAGGGTGGTTAGCACAGTGGTCAAGCCTGTGGCATGTTCTTGCAGTTGCTTAAAGGTTTCCTTACCACTGGGTCTGGGTTCTTGTGATGAAAAAACTGGCCAGGAAAATATCCTGTTGCTTCACTTGCCCGTGTGCCAGCTTGCCTTGTGGCTGTGTGGAAGTGGGAATGCAGTGGGGTTGTGGATGGAGCCTGTGGCAGCATCCAGGTGCTGGATGCTCTGCCCTGACAGGGCTTTCCCTGCTGGAGGAAGGATGTGGGGAATGTTGACATCTGCACCTTCCCCATCCTTCTGCATCTCCCTGGGCTGTGTGTGACCTCAGCCATGCTCAAGCCTCTGCCTAAGATGCCACTAAAATCCCAAAAGTCAAAGTCTGGATGAAGCTGGTGGGTGTCAGTCCCCTCTGGGCTGGCTCACTGCAGAGCCCAGCCCAGCTTGTCCCACCTTGGCTACCGTGTGCTTTGCTCTGGTAGCCAGCACGCTACCCTTGAGTTTGCTCCTGGCTTTCCTGAACCCCGGTAACTCTCTCTGGTTTCCCCCCAGCTGCCACCATGCCCCTGTCCCACAGCAGGGCTGGGCAGACACCCTGCAGCAGCAAAGTGTGCAGGAACCTCTTTGGCCCCGTGGACCACGACCAGCTCCAGAATGACTTTGAGGACAAGCTGAGGCAGCAACTGGAAGAAGCTCAGCAGCGCTGGAACTTCGACTTTGAGACAGAGACTCCCTTGGAAGGACCCTTCAAGTGGGAGAGGATCTTCCTGGCTGAGCAGCCACCCCAGGGGCCCCACAGCCTGGTCAGGGCTGTCATCAGCAGTGACAGCAGGAGCTCCTTGGTCTGCAAGGTCCCCTCCAGGGACTGTGTTGGCAGGATTCGCCCCGAGGAGTCTCAGCAGAGCTCGGAGGTTTACAAGGCTGGTTCCCCACAGGGCTTGAAACGTGGGCAGACCACCATCAAAGGTGAGTGCTGGGGGCTTGGTGTCACTCCGTGGCTGCTCGGTGGCATTGGTGTCATGGTAGGGACAGACAGAGGGGACTGGGGTGCCAGAGCCCTGCCTGGCTCCAGGGCATGGGGAGGAGACCACCCTCCATGGATCTCCCCTGGGTGAGCAGAGCCCACCTTCCAAGGGGAAAAAGGCCACACACTGGGTGCCTTTTGGTTGCTGGGGGTTAGGCAGGGGAATTCCATTGGGCTTGTGGGTTTTGTAGGTGAAGATGCCCCAAAATGGTTCATCACTTTCAGTTCCTATGGCCAGACCCAGTCACAGAACATTAAGGGGTTGGAATGGACCTTAAAGATCATCTAGTTCCAAACCCCCCTCTCATGGGCAAGGACACCTCCCACTAGCCCAGGTTGCTCCAAACCTCATCCAACCTGGCCTTGGACATTCCAGGGATGGGGCAGCCACAGCTTCTCTGGGCAACCCCTGCCAGGGCCTCACCACCCTCACTGTAAAAAATTTCTTCCTAAGAAATTTCTGCCCTCTCAGGTCAGGGCCTGGGGTGGAAACACAGGTGAGACCAAACAGAAGAGATGGTGGAGACATGCAGGCTCTTCTCCCCAGGAGCTTTGGGTGGGGGAGCTCTGGGATGGAACCCTTGGCTGATTTTGGGGTGCCTCACTGGGGACACCTTCCTCGTCCTGCCCCACTGCTCCCAGCAGGTTGGAGGCACTTCCCAACCCTTTCCTTCTGCCCTCCAGACTTCTACAGTGCCAAGAGGAGGATCGTCCCTGCCAAGCCCAAGCCGTGACACGTTGGTGGCTCCTCTGCCATGGGGGACAGCTGCTGATGCTGCCGAGCACGGGGGGTCTGTGGCTTCCCCCCACCCTGTGCTGTGTAAGCTGTTCTGCATGAAGCAATGTAGAGTCTGTAGTTCCCTATTTATGAGTAGCTCTGGGGTCCTGAGGGACCTTCACTGTGTGCAATGTAGAGGAGGAGCCTCTGGCGAGGGCTGGAGCCCCACACTGGGGGTGGAGGAGGACTGAGATGGGCCTGGTGGGACTGAGGCACTGCCCTGCCTGTGCAGAAGTGCCCTCTGCCCTGTGGTGGTGGGGCCAAGCATCCCTGCACCGTCCTGCTGTCCCCTGCCTGAGGGCTGGCCATGGGGGACACTTGTGTCCCAACCACCTGATGGCACCAGATATCTTTAAGATGAAGCCACTGATGTGGGTTGAGGAGCCCTGAGACAGCCTGGCCCTGAGGACACCCCGGCTGCTGGCACCTGAGAGTGCCCTCTGTCCAGCAGGATGGACCCAGCAGTGCCAAGCACTTGTCCATGAGTGACCTGGAGGCTGCTCCTTCCTACAGCTGCTTGGGAGAGGAAGCTGCTCCCTGGGCAGCCCTTCCTTGGGGTGACCCACCAGTGGCAGGAGGTGACAAACCCACTGGAGGCCCCCATTTGGAACAGCAGTTGGGGGCCCAACACTGCCTGGGAGGCTTTGGGATCCCCTGTGCTGTACTGGCCCAAAATCCCACTTTCTTACCTTGTTGTTGGCTTGAGTGGTACTGTTTGCCCTCACATTCCTGCCTCCTCCAACGCTGACACCAGGCTGGGGAGCCCCTGCTCTGGCTCTGTTGGGCTCCTCTGGGGATGATGCTGAAATAGGAATTGTAGCTTGTTTTCCTGGACTTTTTCTCCTTTGGGGCTGAGGGGAGAGGACCCTCACCTGGCTCTGCAGAGCAAGGACTTTGGTCACCTCTGGGATGGCCTGGAGCAAAGGCTGCTCAGTCCCAGCACTGAAGGATGAGTCCCTGCTCCTGAGGGACTCTACACTGTCGGGTCTCAGCACTTTCATGGGGTTCATCTCCTCCTCTGCTGGATTTGGACTCTGGAAACTGGTGCAAGATGGTCCCAGGAAGGAAAGGGATGGGGTTGACCTCTCACCTTGCACCACGATGCACTTTGCTGTTGGTGAAGCTGCCAAGCTCCCAGCACTAAATGTTTATTTATATTAAAAATAATACTATTAAGTGTACGTGGGGAAATGGGAGATACATGTTTGTCTACAAATGTTAACTTTCAATAAACACTTGCCTTGTGTAAGGGAATTGGTGTCTCTGGGTTAATGGGAATATTTGGGAGCAGGGCCTGGCTGTGGGGAGGAAGGTGCTCTGGGTCCCTGCCTGGTTCTGGAGGTTGGGGGTCCCTCTGGGGGTGCAGCCCTGAGCTGAGAGCTGCTGTTGTGAGGGCTGAGAGGGATAAGCACAGGGCTTATGGCACCTTTTTTAACTCCATTGCCTCAGGACAGGGGTCTGGTGCTGCCACCATGAACCCAGCAGAAGGCACTGTGTGGGATCTCACTGCAGGCCCCTGTGTGAAGGTGATTCCTCTTATGCACCTTGTTCCCCCTTTCCCACTGTGCCCCCACTCCTCCTAACCCCCAGTGCACTGTCCTGGGGGACAAGTGGCCATCAGCCACGGGCAGGCTGGTCCCATCCCTTCCTCCTGTGGTGCTGGGTGGGTAAAGTGGGTGGCCATGAGGGCGACCCACACTGTGGGATGGGGACACACGTGGTGTCACCACTGAAGGAAATGTGTGGCAGCAAGTCCCAGGTGGGACTGAGATCCCCTGAGAGTCAGGGGAACCTCCAGCACCAGCTGCTTCCTCCGAGGGCTGAGCAAGACCTGGATGCAGACTCGGGTTCTGGTTAATGTGACAAGTGACCTGCTTTGCAAAGGGCCCAGATGAAATTAAAGTTTTGATGGTGACAGCCTCGTGTCATTGCTCAGCACCTGCCTGTCCCCAGGGTGTGGGGTGGCACCCACGCAAGCCCATGTCCCTGGCTGTGCCTGTGGGGCACAGTCACACAGCCTTTGAGCTGCTGCTGAGTCAAACCCTACAGATTTAGCCCCTGTAATCTTTCCCCTTACGTCAGCCCTTCCAGCCCCCGTGGCTGCTGCCAACTGCTCCCCTCTGCTGTCACCTCCCGTTTGCCAGGAGAGCTGGCGAGGAGGAAATGAGAAATAAACCAGTGAAAAGCCCCTTGTCCCTGTTTGCAGGCACAGCCAGGGGCTGGCCCTGCCGTGCCAGAGGGAGCTGGGCACTGAGGCTTGAGCTTTGAGTCCCTGGGACACTCCAGGACTGTGTGTCCCCAGCTCTGGGTCACAAAATGGGCTTCTAGCAGCTGAGGAACGGATGGAGTTCTCCCTCTTTCAGCCCAGGTTGTGTTTTGCTGCTCTCATCCCAGCCTGGCCTCAGCACAGAGCAGGGATGTTGGAGTTCAAACTCCCACAGGAGGAGGGTCAGGTGCTTCCCCTCCCTTCCCTACTATATTGAATCCCCTTTCTCTGAGACCTGCCCAGCATCTCATCAGGGCTGGATTGTACCCTCTCTCCTGGATCTTACCCTCCCGTGGCTGGTGCTGACCCTGGCACAGGCTGCTGGCACAGCTCTGCCACTGGAAACACGATGTCAGAGCCTTGCTGGGGCAAGAGGGCACAAACCAAGCTTGCTTAGGGATATTTAGGGGTTTCCCCTCAAAAGCCTCCTTGGGGAGAGCAAAGCAAAAACTGAACCAGCAAACAGCACCAGGGGTTGTGAGATGTGGGGACAAACAGCTCAGAGGAGGGTTTTGCAAACCGAGCCCCCCAGCCCGGCTGTGGGGATGCTTCAGGGTGGGGCAACCAGCACCAGCTTTGCTCAGATGAGTGGAGAAGAACCAGCTGAGCCCTCAGCTGACCCATAAATGCCCTGATGGAGCAGATGGACCTGAGGTGGCTGCTGCTTCTTTAGGTCAAACTGCAAACGAGCAGGACGTGTCTGGGAGGGTGGGATGGGGCTGGTTCCCAGTGAGGGATTTAACCAGCTGAGATGGGCAGAGTTACTCAGGGCGTTGGCTTCCACCTCCTAAGTCCTGCCTTGTGAGCCTGGGGATCTTAATTCTAGTTATGACCTAAAGATAATAGTTTGTGTTTCCCCTTGCTTGAGTTCTCTTCCCATTTTTCAGTTAAAGTGGAGCAAAAATGCCCATGACCCACCAAATCCCCCCTTTCCCCTTGTGACCCAGAGCACATGCAGTCCACAGGCTGGGTTTAGTGAGTTTAGTGCTGGGTTTAGTGGGTTTAGTGCTGGGTTTAAAGCCAAGTTAAAACTCAGGCAGGAGCCTTGGAAAAAAGCATCAAAGAGCAGCACAGTGGGCGAGATCTCCAAACACTGGGACTAAAGAGCCTCCACAGGGGGGACTTGCAGGTTGTTCTGTTGTTGTTAGGATGTTGTGATCTGTGGGTTATAGATAGTCCTGTACTTTGGGTTATTTGGAGCCTTAAAATAACATTTGCTGTTTCCCTGCTGTTTTTCCCCTGCCCTGGACCATTGCAGACGGGCAAACGATGGGGATTTCTGCTGCAGTTCCCAATGCCTTTGCAGAGCTGCTCTGGGATCTGAAGGGTTTGAGGGGACCCTCTGGATGGGTCCTCCCCACACCCCACTTGCAAGGCAGCAAACAGGAAACGTGTGAGCGCCGGCAGTTGAGTGTCACCCCCGAACGGAAAGCGCCTTGAGTAAGAGAAAATGAGAGCTCAGGCACGGGCTGCTGTGGGACCAGCACCTCCCCTGGCCCGGGGGGCCCCACTGCCTCGTGTGCCCCAAAACTGAGGGTCCCTCCCGGCACGTGGGAAGGGTAAGTTCTGCTGCCCCGGGGGTAGTTCGTGCGTCACCTTAAGGAGTAGAAAAGAGGGGAAATAAGGGTTTTTTCTTGCTGTTGGTGAGCTGTGGGAGGTTTTTCTTGCTGCTTGTGGAGGACTGGGGGCTGGGGGCCCTTTTCTGATGGCTGGGAGCAGCATGGGGGGTTTTGGAGGGGAGGCAGGTTGCTGGTGATGCCGTGGGGGGCCTTGCTTGGCTGGGGGTGCACAATTCCCACCCCATCCCCCTGTTTGTTCAGTGCCTCTGGGGTGCACTGGGCTCATCCCACCCCCTGGGGCTGGGGCAGGTAAGTGGGGGCTTCCTCATTCCTTAAACAACCCCCCTGCCCCCCCAAAGCTCCCACTTTTGCTGCCTGGTGCTCCCACTTCTGCTTTATGGGGCTGGGACCACCATCAAGGCACTTGGTTACTGCCCTCCCGAAATGTCCTGTGGGACTCCTGCAACTCCACATTTAAGGGTTGGGGCTGGTTTTGGAGCCTGTTCCCACATTTCTGGAGCACACTGGGATTGAGGAGAATCGCTGTTTCTCATTGCAAAAGGAAAGAGGGCTGGGGAAGCCGGGGGTCTCCCCGGGCTGGGAGAGGAAAGCTGGGCTCAAACACGGCCCCGGCTCTGCGTCACAGCTCTCCTTGGCTGTGGGTTCCTTCCCTCGGTGTTTCAGCTTTGCTGCACAGAGAACAGCCCCTCACAGGGATGGCACAGTGGCTGTTGGTGTTGGCCACCCCCCCCCGGGGCTGGGGAGAAGGGAGTGGGGGGGTCCCCAGCCCAGATCCCACAGGCCAGGGCAAGCACACGGCGTGATGGAAACCTCCTATGATGGAAACCTCCCGAGGCCCCGCCGCTCTCCCCGGAGGTGACTCACGGCTGTGAAAACTGGGGGAGGAATTTTAAAGCTGCTGCCGAGCTCTGAGGAAGCAGGTGGAACCACCACGTCCCACTCAGACCTCCAGCATCGCCTTGGCTGGTCCTTTGCTGGCGTCACCTCCCGGCTGTGTCACCTCCCAAGTGGCCTTTGAAGGGTGCCCTGTGCAACCTCCACAGCCAGGGCACGGGGAGGTTTGGGATGGGTGCTTGGCTGGTGGCAGGAGAAGCTGTTCACCCAGTGTGTGCTGGGCTGGAATCCAGGGGGATGGCTGGGGGGAATGGCCACTGTTTGCTGTGGATCCAGGCTCTGTGCGTGCTGTGCAATCGGAGATAAGACCTTCTCTTCCTATTGCCAAACCCTTCTTGCACCAGCAAAATGAACTTCCAGCTTGGTCTCTCTCTGCCACCTCCCACCACGCTGGAGCAAAGCTTTCCAGCAAGGACAGAGCCGGCCAAGGCTCAGCACCCACTGGTTTCCCAGGCAGGACGGAGCTGGAGCCATGTCCGAGCGCCGGGCGGGCACCAAGGGCCGGCGTCTGGGCTCCAGCCGGCGCAGGCAGATCCAGGAGGGCTCCAGTGAGGTACCAGCACCTGGCCCAGGTGAGGAACAGCCATCCGAAATAGTGCAGAGGGTGCAGGACTTCCTCAGGGAGCAGGACAAGGACCAGGCAGGGTTCATCACCCGCTCAGACATACGGGTAAGGGATGGGGTCGTGAGGGATGGGGTTGTCTTCTGCAGGTGGCTGGAGACTGGGTGATGGGTTGGGTTATCCCCCTGATTTGCTCTGTTTTTAGAGATTCCAGGAGGAAGGTTTCCCGTGCAGCACAGAGGAGCTGGAGCTCGTCTTCGATGGGCTGGATGCTGCTGGCACCGGGAGGTTGAGCACCGAGGAGTTCACTGCCGGGCTCCGTAAGTGCCACACGCTGCCTCCAAACAGCCCAGGCTGATCCTGGGCACGGCCCCAGTGCTCTGCTAGAGGGGTGGGAAGTTCTCCCCTTGCTGTGTGGCACGTGATGCCCCCGGATTGTCCCCATGCCCGGGTCTCAGCCCATGGCTCACCTGGTGAAGGGTCCCATTGTGCTGTGGCAGCTTGTTGAAGCCATGGGGTGCGAAGTGCCAGAGGTTTGGGCTTTGCTGGCACCCCGGCTGGGCACTGAGCATTTGGGATATCTGTTGGCAGGGCAGTTCCTGAGCTCCCAAAAAGCTGCCAGGGAGCACCGGCGGCGGAAAACGGCGTCCAGGAGGGTCCGCTTGGTCCTCCCCAGCCCGGCCTTGGAAGGGGTGGACAGCGAGGAGAGGAGACACTTTGCTGCCTTTATGGACCAGCTGGGCACCAACAACGTCTCTGAAGAGTAAGTGCCCTGCTTAGCACCCATGGGTGTCCTGCAGGGAGGGTAGAGGGGGAAAGGCCTGGGGCAGGAGATCCCTGTGCAGACCAGGAGCCCAGAAATGTGTTGGAGGTGCCTTTGGCTCAAGCACAGGAGCAGGGGACAGGATCCCAGTGACCCCAATGCTCATCTGTCCCCACACATCCCGAATGGCGTGAGCTAAACAACCCAGGGCCCCACAGCTGGCCTGGTTTTGGGGGGCCCTGGGGGATCTCACCCCAAAACACCCCTGTCCCTGCAGACAGGAGATCTGGCAGCTCTGGGTGAAGCTCCGGCAGGACGAGCCCCAGCTCCTGGGCAACCTGGAGGACTTCCTGGCCAAGATGAGGCACCACATCCAAGAAGCCAAGAGCAGGAAGGAGGCTTTGGAGGTGACCCTGAACAAGTGAGTCATCACAGGGCAGTGGAGAGGGATGGGACGTGAAGGATGGGGACAGGGATGGCAAAGATGGCTCATCCCAGCCATGGGAAGAAACCTGAGTGTTCTCAACATCTCCATCAGTGGCCAGAGCAGAGGTTTCACTGGTCTTTGGGGTTGGGCTCCCTCTACAGTCAGGGATGGGATGGCAAAAGGGCTGGACTGTGTTGGACATATCCATGCTGGGTGAACCCCCCTGGGCAAACCTGGCTGCAGCCAGAGGGTCCTGTGGGCAATGTGGGGTCCCAGGGGCCTGCACCCCCTGCAGCAGGGTCTGACCACCCACCCCTTCCCCTCTCTGTCCCCACAGGCGTGTGGCTGAGCACGACAAGGAGGTGCAGCAGCTCTGCGAGGTCCTGGAGCAGCAGATCCAGCAGGAGCAGCAGCGGCTGGAGCAGAAAGTGGGTCACCAGCTGCTCCTCTTCCTTTGCTGCCCACCCCAGGGGGGACCCAGCACCCTCAAACCCCCCTGGCAGCTCCCAGACGGGTGAGTGGGTGCCAATGTCCTTGTTGCCATCCCAGAGCATGGCCCGGAGCCAGCAGCAGGGCGTGGAGCTGCAGCGGGTGCTGGACGCCAGCGAGAGGGAGGTGCAGCGCTTGGTCACGGCACAGATGGAGGTGGGCTGGCCCCAAACCCCGGCCCCTTTATGTGTTATGGGTTCTCTGGGCTGTGCTGTAACAACACCACGGTGTTGTACAGCTGATCCCAGTCTGGCCCCACCAGCCCCTGTAGCAGGTTGTCCCACAGGACCCTCATCTCCACCTTTTCCACCCCCATCCCCACACTCCCCCGCACCCCCAGAGGACACAAGTTGAGTTTCCCACCCACCATCCTCACGGGGGGTAGGGGGAAAATTCAGCCCAGGGTCCAGAGGAGATGGTTATCCATGAATTATTTTACCTGGGGATTTTGGTGGGCTGTGAGTGTCCTGGTTGCCATCCCACAGCTGGAGCGGCGGTGCCGCAGCCTCCGCAGCACCCAGCGAGTCACCAGCATGGAAAACCAGGAGCTGGAGGCGAGCAACAGGATGCTGGAGGATCACCTGCAGCACCTCCACCAGCAGCTCAAGCAGACCCAGGGGCACCTGAGGACAATGAGGGCTACAGTGGCTTGGGAGCACGTGGAGGAGCCAGGGTGAGTGGCCGAGTGATGTGTCTGCACATTATGTGGTTTCCTCCTGGATGGGTCTCAGTCATCATGGTGCTTCAGAGGTCTCCATGGTACAGATTAACCATGGCTTGGTGTGAAAAGCAGCAGGGAAAAAAGGCAGGACTATCAGCACCATGCACTGCACCCGTCCCTTAAGGACAGTGCCAGCAGAGATGGTGATGCCCTTCACCCAGAAGGACCCAGCTAGGACTGCTCCAAGGGTGGTGGGGTTTGCTGTCCTGCTCTATCACTGCCCTGGGGGCTGAGGAGAGCCCTGGGGCAGGGATGGACGTGGTGAAGAGGATGCAATTGCCATTTTGACCCCTGTGCTCTGTTTGCAGGGACAGAGCCGTGGCAGAGATACCCAGCGAGATGCCAATGTCCCCACAGGTACTTGAGCTGGGTGTGTGGGATGAGGTGTCCACGCTCCAGAGCCTTGTGCTGCTCAATTTGGGACTGCTGGGGAGCCCAAGAGCACAGAGTGCTCCTGCAGCTGAGGCACTGCCTCCCCTAAAAGCTTCCTCACATGGGGTTGTCACGATGCCATGCAGATGTTTGGGAAGGGAGGGGGCAGCAGCACCTTAGTTCTGGTACCCCCAAGACTTTGGGTGGGTACATCTGGATACCTGCTGAAGAGCTCAGCATTGTTTCAGGTGGATACACTCCCTCACCAAGAGTTTTTCTCTTTCCTCTCCCCTTCTCACCTTGTTTCCTGCAGATGAGTCCGGGGAAGAGCGAGAAGTTCCGCTCGGAGATGCGGATCAGGCTGGGATCCCAGAGTGAGGAACGCAAAGCCAAGAACACCCACCAAGTGTAAGGGGTCCTGGGCAGCAGCTGCTGCTCCCACATGTGCCCCTGGGGTCTGTGAGCCAGTGCTGAGCCCCCAAGTCTTCCCTCCACCCTCCCCAGGCAAACCATGATACTTAGTCCTTTTAATGCTCCCCTCCCACCCACTCATCTCTCATCCTGGAGATCACACCTCTTATCCCAGCTCATCACTCCCTTGGCTCAGGAACTTGCTGTACCTGGCAGAGAGATGTCTTTTCATGTCTGATAATGTTGACATAGATACTTGTCCCCAATGCTTCCCGTGTGAACCCCAAGTGCACCCAGAGGGTAAATAAAATCAGGTTTGGAGAGGGATGGGGTGAGGTGGCAGATCAGAGGCCCCCTGGGACTGGCCAAGGATGGGAGGGAGCTGGAGCCTGATGTGGGAACTGGGCTCATTCCCCCCCCCCACCAATTTTCTGCCTTTTCCAGGGTTTGGGAAATGCTGCCAGCAGAAATAAGCATTTCAGGAGCCCCTCCGAGAGTGAGCTCTGCAGAAGAGGAGCCCTTCCCAGAACACCTGAAAGAGGAACACTTCTCTGACCAAAGCTCTTTGCTAAGAGAGATGAATGATGCAATAGCAGCTCTGAGCAAACATCTGAAGGCACAGGCACCGGGTGCACCCCCTGCTCTGGCAGACGCTGCCAGTCACCCCCAGGATGATGCTGAGCCCCAAGCAGGGCAGGAGGCAGCCACAGCCCATGGAACAACCCCTGGGGTTCTGCAGGACACCCTCCCTGGGCACGTCAGCCATGAGCTGTTTGAAGGAGACCTGAAAGAAGGACCAGCCACAGCTGAGTTTCGTGCTCTGGATGTGACACAGGCTGGTGCGTCCGTGGGAGCCGGGCACCACATGGCTCAGGAGCCAGGGGCAGAGCAGGGAGAGAGCCCAGAGGAGGCACAGAGGATGATGTTCCTGCAAGGAAAGGGTGCTGGTGTGAAGGAGATGGTGCTAAAGGTGACAGAGCACCTGGGAGAGAGCAAGGAAGCAGGGGAGCAGGCAGTGATGGAGGTGGAGGGAGCAGGGTGGATGCAGGAAAACACAGGTTGGGAAAAGGCACAGCTCCTGGGAGAAGCTGAGGAAGCAGGGATAAGACAGGGAGAAAGTTTGGGGGCAGGTCTGGGGCCAGCTGAGGCTGGGCAGGCAGGTCTAGCAGTGGGACAGTGCCTTGCCTTGGAAGAGGTTCAGCCAGGAGCAGCTCCAGGTGAATGTGCACAGGCCCTGGGCATGGCACTGCAGGAACGGGCTCATCCATCACTGGGGCTCTCTGAGAAAC